ATGTCTGTCTGTCCGTCCCCTGTTTTGGTTGGAGACTAGCGAGCTGTAATTTTGTGGAGATATATATATATATATATATCGATCAAGCTGATAAAATGGTAGAATAAAATTTTAAAAAATATTTTTTTAAGGGTAGTTCCCCTATATGTAACCTGGGGATGATTTTTTGTTTTTCATGACCAACTCCATTTTGTGTGGGATATTGTTGAATAAAGGTCCTTTAAAATTACTTAGGAGTGCCTCAGACCATTTTTCGATTTAGGGATCCGTTTGCGAAATATAGAACTTTAAAGTGCTAATTTTTGTTCGAGTAGGGCGCCCCCGTCCTCTATAAGCTAAACTATTGGCTTGAAAAACCTGAAAAAATTCATGATAATAGTGCTTTTCATGAACTTTTAAGGAAGACTATAACGGTTATGATAGATTGGTTAGTTTAGGAGTAATAGTCATTTAAGTTTGGTTAAAGAAAATTTCTTACCTATTGGAAATTATTGTAGCGTGAAGCCTTGCATTGCAACAAAAAATAAAAAATCTTTTTTAAAACTACAATAAAATATCATACGTTCTACAACGCTATCGCGAGTACCACGACAATGGCTTCTGAGTCGCGCCAACGTTACGTTTTTATAAAAAATACTGGCTGACTCGGCGAACTTCGTACCGCCCAAAAGTAATAATTTGCAATAAATTAAAATTGCGACTATAATTTGAGATTTAAACTATCCTATCTCTCAAGTTAGATCGAACTGCACATGGTGTGCGAATTTTATTATAATCGGTTCAGTGGTTTAGGAGTCCATTGAGGACAAACATTGTGACACGAGATTTCTAAATATTAAGATATAAGCACTTGCAAAAATAATAAAGTATACACAGTCAGGTCATAAGTATTGTCACACAGTAAAAACTTTTCTTTTAGAATGCTGGCCACAAAAAAGTTTATTGAATTCGAATTTCGAATTGTTCATGAAAATAAAAATGAATACTTTTTGGAATTTTACTCATTTTTAAATATGGAGTGGACGCTTAAAGAAGACCGTGTTGCAGTTATTGCGTTGCATCCTTGCGGTTACGCGCCAATTCAAATTTTCGACATACTGAAAATTTTTAATATAACCAAAAGAATCGTTTATCGTAACATCAAACGATACAATGAAGACTCTAGTTCAGATGACAGGTCATGAAGTGGTCGCCTTCGGTCTGTTAGGACTCCAGCAGTAATAAAAGCTGTGAAGGCGCGAATTCAAAGAAATCCCAAACGTAAGCAGAAACTGTTGGCCCTTCAGATGGGGTTAAGCAGAACCACGGTGAAAAGGTTGTTAAATGAAGACTTATGGCTTCGGGCATATCGAAGAAAAACAGGACATCGTTTGAATGCTCGTCTAATAGACCTGAGGCTGAAGAGATGCCGCGCTTTGTTGAAGCGGTACGCGGGAAAAAAATACCGGGAAATTCTTTTTTCGGATGAAAAAACTTTTACCGTAGAAGCGAACTACAACAAACAAAATGATAAGGTCTATGCACACAGTAGTGAAGAACGAGCAACCGTATTCCGCGTGTCCAACGAGGTCATTTTCCATCCTCGCTCATGGTATGGTTGGGAATTTCTTATTGGGGCTTAACAGAGATACATTTTTGTGACAAAGGTGTAAAAACGAATGCAGTTGTGTATCAAAATACAGCCCTGACGTACCTTTTGGAACCTGTTTCTCATACCATGTTCAATAATAGGCACTGGGTATTCCAACAAGATTCGGCGCCAGCTCATAGAGCGAAGAGCACACAGGGCTGGCTTTCGGCGCGTGAAATCGACTTCATCCGGCACGAAGCCTGACCCTCCTCCAGTCTAGATTTGAGTCCGTTAGATTACAAGATATGGCGACACTTGGAGGAAAAGGCGTGCTCAAAGCCACATCCCAATTTGGAGTCACTCAAGACATCCCTTGGTTAAGGCAGCCGCGTATATTGACATGAACCTCATTCGCGATAGAGGAATGGCCGCGCAGATTGAAGGCCTGTATTCAAAATCACAGAGGTCATTTTGAATAAACTTTATTGTCATGAGAATCTATGTTTTGTTAAGTTCATTTTGGTATATAAATGGTTACATAATGAACAAACTTCTTTCAATTATTTTATATTAAACATGTGACAGAATTTATGACCTGACTAGGTATAAGCAATAAATACTGACCGGTGTGGTAGAACGCTGCAGTGCGTACATCTCCTGTCCCTGAAACAAGTTTATTCAAACTTGTTTCAATTATTTTATATTAAACATGTGACAGAATTTATGACCTGACTAGGTATTATAAGGTTGTTGTTACCCCTAATAAATAAATAATAAAAAAAAACCGTTTTACTGCATCATCCCCTTCTCGACTTTTTGGCGGGATCGGGAAGCGTCACTTTAGCAGTTTTGTTTTTATTGCTAAAAATTGTGTTGTGGCGGATGCTAGTGTCTAATAATGGTGGATTATTAACCACTAAGTGTTCGGGAACATGCACTAGTGTTGGCAAGTGAAACAAAATAGCGGAAAGTGTCTTTCGACGTTCCCTCAAGAAGTCCACGGGGAGGTTTCAGTAAATCTCCACACATTTACTGAAACATAGGGAAAGGGGGATTGACTTGACTGCCATTTACTTTTACTTCATTTATTACTTTGACCACGAGTGCTATAGAATTTGTAAATATTTTAACATTGGCTAAATGCACAACCCGTGCGAAGCCATTTAGATAAAAAAATACCCCTTCTCAGGGCGCTGCCCCGCCTGGGAGGAAACAAAAAATAATAATATCGAATTGATTTTGAGTTTGAGACGCAGTTTGACTTTAATTCAGGTATTTTAGTTGAGATACATAGATTGATATTAATTCTAATTTCCGACATAGAAAATAAAGACTCCTGCTCAAATATATTGTGGTAACTACAGGCAACTACGGAACCCTACACTGCGCGTGGCAGGACATGCGCTTCGCCAGTTTTTTTTATTACGTAGATTGCAGGGTCGGAAAGCTAGATTATTTGATTACATTAACTAATTATAACTATTAAAGAAAATCAATTCTTAGGCTGAAAGGCAGCGCCATCTTTTCGCATCGTAGGTAATCCACAATGCTTATAATAACTTTTAATCTCACACCAAATTGGTTAACCATAATGTATTAACGCTGCTATGTTACAAACAGTTTGATTGTCAATACACAGTGTTAGTCGCGTGGTATGTGGTCTTTCATAGCGTTGCTCAGCGGGCGGTAATTAGTTAATGGCATGTCCGCAAAAACAACAACAGTTTAATTTATTTTATGCGGCGTGGTAAGCATAAGCTGATGTGACATTCACAAAGATCTAGAAGTCTCCTCTTATTAGGGAACAATTTCATTTTAGATTTCTCGGAAACGAATTGATAGAAACAAGGATAACCATTGACGAATGAATCGCGTGGAATCCAAGTTAACATACAGAGTATGTACCAAACGACCTTAGAAATAAAAATAGTGTGATTAATTAGGATTTTTATTGCTTTAATATTAATAAGGCATCCAATCTCCATTATTGTCTATAATCACTTGACATCTTTGCGGTATACTTTCCGCCAGTTTAATCTGCAAAATAAAGATCTCCATAAGGACTTAAATTAATGAGTAAAGTCAGCGGTGGTCACTGCATTTTTTTGCCTTTGGTTTAAGCTTACTCCACGCCCAAATATTTTAAATTGGATTGGTATCATGGGACGGTGAGTCCCAACCCAACACGTCAGTATTCGTTTTCGGTTTCGAAGGCGTACAGAATAGACTTTTGTGTTTTAGGATCAATATCTTCATGCTAAATCCAGAAATCATTTTGGCATGGAAACATATTTTGAGCTGAGCCCGTGCTTATAACGTTTTTCATAATATTGAATTAATGTGAATTTTCGTTATACAGGGTGTTTGGAAGATGAGTGCAAAGCTTTAAAGGAAAGCTCACAAAGACCATTTAGAAACATTTAAGCCATACTTGTCATAGACGAAGTCTGACCATTTTATTTTTAATAATTTTTAACGATTTTAAAGAAAAAAACCTAAAAGTACACAGTTAGTTCCAAATAATGGCTAACTGACATAATAAATGAATTGTTTTTGAATTTATTTCATAAAACAAATGTGAAAACAAACTAAGAAAAAAATTTAAAACTTCTGTATCAGTAAACAAATTTTTTACAGATATTTAATATTATCGTAAATTTTTAAAATGGTAAAAAGCTGTTTATCTTAGGCTTACAAAAAAAAACACGGAGGGTGTTTTATTTGTTCAAAGCTCTTTAAAAACATGTTCAGTTATTGTACTTTCTTTTGAGGTAACGTTTATGCAAATTGCTTAGAAATTGTTGAAACTAAGACCAGAAATCCTAATTGAGGAAGATTTTTTTATGTTTTAGATGAATAAATTATAACAAAATTTAAACTGAAATCACTTATTTTTCGTGTTCAAAATGTTCGCCGCGATTTGTAACATACGCAAGGGCCAGTTTTCTTACTTCCGTTGTCGTTATTTTCAACATCATCTCCTGTTTCGTCGTTTGAAATGCTGCATTCATTCTTTCTATTAATTGTTCTTTTGTGTTTATCTCCACATGAGTGTAACTAGTTCTTTGGCCTGACCCCACACGAAAAAGTCCATTGGAGTAAGGTCGGGTGACCAAGCAGGCCAAGAGATTGGGCCATCTCTGCCGATCCAGCTATCAGGGAAGCAATTATTTAAATGCTCTCTTACATTTAAAGTCCAATCGGCTGGACCCCCGTCCTGCTGAAAGATGACCTCTCGATCAGTTTCGAATATTGGAGCACCGGAATCTTGTGTGGGGTGTTACTTTCGTATTCTTCCTAAATCTTCCAAATGTGAAATACAATACCCTGTCTGCGCTTCGCACTGCTTGCGTGCGCAGTCGGATAAAAAGCCTTTTTTTTTATTTTACAAAATAAATCAATTTTTAAGTTATTTTTTCTTTTGTTATAGTATGCCCCTCGTTGGACATCCGGGGCAGTCCGGAGCAGATGCAGAAGCTCCGCGGCTGCCGCGTGGTGGAGGGCCAGTTGAGTATTGTCGTCATGGAACACGCCACGCCCAAGGCCTTCGAGAACGTCTCCTTCCCAGAGCTCCGAGAGGTCACTGACTTCATTAAGATCTATAGGTGCGTATTTTTTATGTAAGAAGGGTTGCAAATTGCCATATGGCGCTCACCTGATGAGAAGCCTATAATAATATATATACCTATAATGCCGGCATCTATTGGGATCTGACATGGAGGCGTGGCCTATTCAATATGGCGCCGACGGGGGTGCATTTGCCTAGTCAAACCGTGATGAAATACCGTAAAATAGTTAAATATCAATATTAGTGGTAGATAATGATAGTCTTAACAATTAATGATATTTGTGAATGGTCCGGTTCAACGCCCAGTAATCGCAATTTTCGAGAGGGTGAACGACTGGTAGCTGCGAAACATTTATTGAATTGTGGTATCGTCAAAGACCAAACTAAACTAATATATAACTAAACCAAGGAAACTCTTTCATTTTAATGTTGTTGCCGTCCCATTCTTTTCTTAGTGGAATAATAATGAGATCTTGTAAAATGCTACTTCACACATGCTTAACCTCAAAAAACGAATTTGACTCACCTGGTAATATATAGTCGTCTTTCAGAAAATGCAATGAACACACTTTCATGTGAGGATTTATTTTACAGTCAATCTTCAAAGCGTTCTTCCATGCTGTGAATTGGTCCACTTTTTCCATTTGACCAAAATAATTTTTGATGTAAACACAACGCGCATTTTTTTTAGGAAACTTATGAAACGTTAATTCACGGTTTTTTTGAAAACTGCTTCCACATCCATACACACAACACTTTATTCTTTTTTTAGAAATCTTGCGAGGGTTAAATATTCCTAATTCTTCCGTCATTTTTTGTTTAATTTCTCAAAAGTACTAATGACACTAATGATAACTTATGTGTTTTGATGAGCGATGCACCCCGGTATTAGTTCCAAAATTGAACACCAGGTGTCTCACGAATTTTGTCAGATCCCAATACCGCGTATCATTCGCGCGTTGCTATTCACTCATATTATATTCAGTTTTGCTACATAATATAATTTTTAGGGTTCCGTACCCTAAAAGAAAAAAACGGAACCCTTATAGGATCACTTTGTTGTCCGTCCGTCCGTCTCAAGACAGTTTAGCTCAGGAACGCGTGGAGGTATCAAACTGAAATTCATATCTAATACTCAAGTCTACTGTCCCTTGTAGCTGTGAAAAATCAAACTTCTAAGGCAAAGCAATCATAAGATACAGCCGTATAGGCCGCAAATTTCCGCAAATTTTCGTACAGGGTACTTCCCGTGAACTTAGAAACTAGAAATATGGTACGAAGTAACGTCTTATAGTACAGATAAAGGAAATGTTGCGAAAACCGTGAATTTTTAGTTACATCATATAATAAAAAAATAAGAATCCTCGGTACGCGAGTCCGACTCGCACTTGGCCTGTTTTTAATGATTCGGAAATTAAAACATTTCTTTACTAACAAATTTTTTCACTTCTCAATGTTGAAAATTAATATTATATCGTACGTCATCAACCAGAGCTCATTGAGTGTTTATGGGCTTGTTTACGTTATTTGAATTGTTGATTAAACTAGTTGTGTCCGGAACGTTAAAGGGGCTCCGAATTGTCTCGTTCTTTTAGAAGCTTAATTTAATTTTTATTACCATTTCTGTATCTTTTTCAGTTGTATAATTAAAATATGAATGATGACAAACTATTATTAATTGCCCCAATGAGTAATTTTGAACAATATAATTATGAAAGTCTAAAAGTCCTAGATTATATTTGACGATTTTTCTGTCACAACGATTTAAAGAAATGCGATAAGCTATTTATAAAATATTTTTAATATTAAAATTTAATTTCCACTTCTTTGCTACCATCTCTCTCTGATAAAATACTCTTCGTGTGTGTCCTTTCTTATAATGTTCTTTTTTTTAAACTAGATCTTTCTTAGCCATGTGACGCATACGCATCCAATTACATCCGATTCATATCCTCTTTAGCAATCTCATTTCACTTCACAGTAATAAACACAGATATAAAATTTTGTTTTTTTTTTCAAACGTTTTTTTTACTTAAATTGGAGTTGTTGTTGGATTGGGCTCATTATCAAAAAAGGTATTCCAAAAATATAATGAGAAGGGCCTTGAAAAAAAGGAGGAGGTTCTCAATTCGACAGTATTATTTTTTATGTGTTACCTCAGAACTTTTTGTATCTAAAATTGCTACAACGAAGGCTTCTTTATTTATGGTTTATGTTGAAGATGTTTTTGCTACCTATACTATGCTATGCTACTAGCTGACCCGACGGCCAATTGATCTTTCAATAAAAAAATGTATTTGTAATAGCTAAGCAGCTTAGACTCAGACTCTAATACATATATAATCTAATATATACAAACTTGAACCTCCCCTACAAGTAAAGTGAGGATGTTAATTTTTTAATATAGTACAATACTGTTACGTGTCGGGATGGGGTTCGAATTTATATGCCAGTTCACGCTTGACAGTTTTTTATCCACCACACAGTTCACACAATTAATACACTATGCTAATTACAAAACACTCACTAAACACTGTATTTCACTATACAAGTCTCTAAACAATCTCACTTGAACACTTTTGTTGCACTTAGATCGCCTTTGGATTCGCTCCGAAATCGCTGTTGAAGCTCAACTGTCTCTACGCGGCGCTAATCGCGCTTATATACGCCGATCGACGCATTCTAGAAAGTACCTGTTAAATTGAGAATTACCTATATAGCACCCGCGAGTACGAAATACCTACCTATACCTACGCAGTTAACACGCATAACTTGTAAACAAGTGCAGATATCGTTACACTTTCACCCTTACGCCGCACTGCATAAGGCTCATTTTAGAATGAGCCGCATTACTCGTCCTCTATCGCGACCCGCGGTGATCTGCCAAATTTGATCTCTGGCACTTTCGCGGTTACGTTTCGAGAGCGTTTGTGACAATACAATAGGGTATTTGACAAGTTTTAGAAAACGATATTACTTTATTTGCTTATGTTTATGGAGTCCATAAACAGTTGATATTTTTGATTCTGTTGTATAATTCAGTTAAAAAAACTAAATAAAAAATATATTTTCAAGTTGCCGCGAAAGCGTTTTTCTGGACATTATGGCGTCTCACTAGTGTGTGACGTTACACAGCTGTCAATAAAACGTCAAACGATATAATCACTTAGCCGGAAGTTTACTAGCATGTGACGTCATTTTAGTCCTGGCCAATCCCAGGCGTTTTTGATCACGTGACCATGGAGCAAAAAAGCATTTATATCTATGGATTTAAAATCGCCACAAATATTCATGTTAAATACAGCTAACAATTGGTTCATTATTTTCATATGTCAAATAGCCTATTAGATAAGATAACCAATTATTTTATTTTATTTTTGATTTACATTTATTTATTCTTTTCGTCAGTCGGTCTAGCCGTTCTTCAAAAGTGAGCATACCAGGCATACAATTATATTACGACAATTGTGGCGCCACATTTGGAACGCGACTTATTTAAAGTCCTTATATCTGCGTGTAAGCACGCACACCTAGGAGACATTTTTAGCGGGTGCATTTAATAGCGAGACGAAAGCAAAACGGTAGCGTGCATATTGTGGCAAGGTACTGTGGCTCCGGTGCCGGTGTGCGGTCGCACTATGTTCTCACAAATTTAAATTTCGTTTTTATCGATTTAATGGTTAAACTTAACTCTGAAGAGGATAATGTCTGCGGTGTAGTTTTTGTAGATCGCACCCATAAATCGAACCGTTAGCAGTAAAGTTTATAACTTATTTTATTCTTTATCTTTTTTCAACTATTTTTCGCGACGTCTGCCTTTAATCCTGTATAATTGAGACTTTCATTTTATCCCACATGATATGGGAATGTGACATGTTTACCGGAAACTGAATATATTTCTCCTCATATTTAATTGACATGGAACTTCATCGTCATATTTTCCTTACTAGTGCATTACACCCGTAAAATAGGTATCAAATTATTCAGTAAAATATGTATCACTTGAGGAAAATAATATAGATTGTGAATGTTAATTGTTAACATAAATGCTGAATGAAAAAATATTAATGGAATACTTTTACGATTTCGAAATAGATAATACATATGTATTATGTAATTTTCCACAATCGCGACCAAAGTCGTTTATACTATAGATATACAAGATCATAGTGATTTATTTGTTGTTGTTGTTACAGAGTGAAAGGCGTGCGCAACCTTGGCGATCTGTTTCCCAACTTGACTGTGGTGCGTGGAATGCAGCTCTACAAAGATTATGCTATCGTTGTTTACGATAGTGCACATCTCGAGGTAGTTACGTCTTTATAATTTTAAAGTCCATCATTTATTTAAATCGATTGAAAAGGTCAAATCCTGAAACATCTATATTTATCTCCATATTTAATTTGATTATTAAATCATTTTGAAATAGAAGCATTGATTCTTATCTATATTTTAGCAGTTTCTGTTTCTTTTCACTGTCCTGTTCTGTCTGCATAGCCTTTATTCTTTGGAGCATTTGCTCTCACACTTTCACCACCGTCATTTGAAATATATTATGCTTACTATAGCCTTTTGAGTATACGTCTCCGGGCGGCCTAATTCACGCAGGTGCAATACTAAAGTAATCGTTGCCCTGCCTCTCTTTTATATTTTTAAATATAAGTAAGCTTCTCTATTTCCTTTAGCAATGGTTACAATTTACTCATGTTCACAGTCCTTAGGGCTCCGGTCTTTGACGAAAATTGAACGGGGAGCCGTTCGCATACAACTCAACGACAGATTGTGTTACACCAACACTATAGACTGGAGTGCGATCGTCAGCGAGAATGACTTGCCTAACGTCAAGATTAGGGTAAGTATGCTGCTTCTTTACTGTAATGCTGTCTGTTACGCGTAACATAGAAAATTTACTTTGTATAAACAACCATTATAATCCTGGCACCATATCTCCATGAATCAAAAGTGTTGACGCTGGTTCTATCTTGCAAACTTATGAATTTAGTATCTTTAAAATGATGGAAATGAAAATAAACATGGTACTACTACTAAGTCAACAAGGAACCCACAGTTTCGCTAATTACAGTCTTATCTGTCCGCAGCTTAGCTCAGAGATTATTCTTTGTTAAGTTTTATTTCTACGATGAAATAAAGTTTTTTGTTTTGTGTTTGTATTCTAGAGCCTGTTATTATTCTTTAAAACGAACTTCTCTCATTTACGTAGCAAAACCAAACTCTATGATAATATGACCAGTAGGTACCATGATTTTCAAATAAAATAAATGGTATGATTTTATGAAACGATGAAGTGAAACGTTTAAAATCATTAATAGAAAAAGTTCTTCCTCAGGTGGAATTCGAACCCGGACCGCCCGCGTAGCAAGCGAGCTTTCCACCACGGAACCACCAATGCTTGTTGATAAGATTTGAATTTATAACTTACAGTAAAAAATATAATGCGACATGTATGCTAAATATAAAGGAAAAAAAAATAAAAAAAAAATTTCAGTCAAACTACGACACACGCTTGTGCGCGCTGTGCCCCAACGCGCAGAGCCGCGTGGAAGACCACAAACAGCTGCAGAAGCAGTGCCCCGCGGACTCCACGGGCAGGCTGCTGTGCTGGGACGACAAGCATTGTCAGAAAAGTTAGTATGGCGTTACATTGATGTCGATTCTGACAGGATTCTTTAAACTTAAAACTAAATTTAACATCAGTCTGTCCTTTTCATTCTGTATAGAGAATGACAAAGATACACTGTTGTCAAATTTAAGTTTAGCTATAGAGAATCTTGCCAGATTAAAGATTCAATAATATTATTTCAGTTTAAAGATTCAATAATATACTATAATTTTTTTTAGTCATCACGATGCTATTTTTCTGTTATTGGTTTTAAAACTCAGTTGTGATTTAATAATAAAATATCTAAAAGATAGACACTTAGTAAAGTGGAGATAACCGATTTTTTTGAAAATGATAAATAATAAATAAATATTCCCATCACTCACACAATTAGCCTAGCCCCAAATTAATTACTGTAGGATTATGTTATGGGATACTAGAGTATAGAATACATATACAGTGGTGGTCATATAATTAAAAACGCTTCTAGCAAAGACAATATTTTAAAATTCCAATGTTCCTAACAAAAAAAATATTACTTCTTGATAAATATTGGCTATAAGTACAGTCATTTAATACCTTTGGAAGACTAACATAATTAAAAAAGAAATTAGGAAATATATTGTATTACTAGCTGTTTAATTTCCTGTCATTTAAATGGACAAACCATTTAAATATTATTATTAATAATAAATGTAATAATTCGACTGTTACTAATAAATAAATATTATGCTGCAGTATTATAATAAATTAAAAAAACTTCTTTTTTGAAAATAAATTATGTATTTTAATATTTATAGTACAGGATCCCAAGACTGCCAGACCTCACTTATTTTCTTATCGACGAAATATGGATAATCGAATAGTATTAGTATTTACAACGAACTAATACATACTCGCTAACTTGTGCTGTGGGCCTATTTTCACGAATCAGGTGGCGCAGGCACGTGAAAATTTTACTCACTTTACTTACAGTCTGGGGACTGATTAGTCAGTACCTAAAGAAGTTTCACTTCAAAAATTGGAAAACGTATATTGTAACAATAATACCGTGAAAATGCAATAAAAATAGTAATGACAAATGCATTCCATTTTGAAAATGATGAAAAAAGAACAAAATATTTTCGTTCTTAATTATTTGTCCAGCCAGTATTTCGGCAACTTTATGAGTTCCTATGGTTTAATTAGTAGACAAATAAGAAGGTACATTATTTCGACGAAACTATTACATGAATAATGCAGATCCGTCATAAGAATAAACTACATCACTAACAAAATATGTTTAGAAACGAACCAAGCACCGAAATTTTGGTCAAAACATACTATTGGCTTTGTATTATCCGTATGCGTGTTAAGCGTTCTTAATTATATGAGCACCACTATATAGAAATACATATTAAACATCCATGACTAGAGTACAAATGCTCGTATTTATCACACGAACATCAGCCTCCATCAGGATTCGAACCCGGGACCTCTCGAGTAGGCGACACCATGCTCGGCCACAGACGTCGTCAGATAATATAAGTTAGAGGTGAAAAAGGTTCTTGTTTGTTTAACAATGTTGTTTGTACTTAAATAATCTGTACTTATTTATCTTAATAATTTACTTTAGGTACTAGGTATAAAGTTACGTTTTATTTAAATAACTTTTAATTTAATAGCTTCGTAAAGTTGTCAGGCTTCGTAAAGCTTTCGGGGGCGTACTTTAAAACTTTCAAAACACTGCTAAAGCATTAGTCGTAACGGGAGGGTGGTACCCTGAAAAACGATGTTTGACTACACCACTTGAGAGTAATTCCATGCTGTTTTGAACCCATGTACCTACTTTTATTTTTTTAACTTATTTATTTTTTAACAAGTGTGGTACTTCCGGCAGTATGCCCCCGCGAGTGTGAGCCGTACGGCTGCACGCCCGACAACGAGTGCTGCCCGAAGACCTGCCTAGGTGGCTGTAGCGGCAACTCGTCGCGTGACTGCTACGTCTGCAGGAACTTCTCCATCGGTTACGGCAAGGAACGCCAGTGCGTCGAGAAGTGTCCCGTCAACACGTACCAGGTGAGGCACCCGGCTGCAGCTATCTGTCTTAGGCGGCACTTCCTAGTGAGACAGTTACATCCGCAGGAACTTCTCTATAGGCTGCAAGAAACGCCTATACGTTGAGATGTCCCGTCAAAATATACCAAGGGAAGTGAATAGGGTTGCCACCTTTTTTAAGTCCAAATAAAGTACATTGGATATGAAAGGTAGAAAAAAAAGTACATTGTGTCCAAAATAAAGTACATTTTAATCCACTTTATTAGTAAGCTTAAAATATATTTTACGGTGCTTATAGCAATATTTAATAAATAATTTGTGGCTACTAAAAATCTGTAGTTCTTATCCGCAATGGGTAAGACCATTGTACAAAGCCATACAGCCGCGACAATGTTGCAGGAATGGGCTAAGGGCGACATATTATACATACTGTTGATCCGTTTTACGCAAAAAATCTTCCTATCCTCTTTATTTATATTATATGTAAAATTAATTCCCAAGTAATCAAATCACATTAAATAAAGTATTTTCGCGTACTTTATTGTTGGCATAAAGTATAGAGTACAATTACCCGAAATAACGTACAATACTTTATAATAAAGTACGGGTGGCAACCCTAGAAGTGAATGACCGGCTAGTCATCTGTCTAAGGCGGCTGCAGCGGCAACTCCTAGTGAGACTGCGAGATTGCTACATCAGCAGGATATTCTTTATACTCTGCGAGAAACTCCTCTACGTCAAGATGTTCCGCCAAAATGTACAAAGTTACCTCACTTTGTACATTTTGACAGGCAGCAACCTGTCTTAAGTAGGGTTACCATATCTCAGGATTTGTCCTGAGATTTCAGGATTTTTGGACTCTTCTCAGGATTGCGGCTGGATTTTGCAAATCTCATGAAATCTCAGGATTTTTTGGATTTCCTATAAAATACAGCTTACGTTTTAAAGATCTCTTTAATAAAAAGTTAAACAAACTAAAAATAATCTTCTATTGGTAATAATTGCACAATTAAAATCAGTACTTTATTATAAAAGTATTTTTTAAGTAAGGTTTTTTCTTCAATTATGGATTCATATAATGCCCCGCATGTTAAGCTCTTCATATTATATTGATTCAAAAGTATGAGCAGAGTATAAACTTTTAAAATATTACGACTTTTTAAAATTGTTAAGTACGCTTGAGAGAAAATTCTCAAATTGTAAAAAATCTCAGGATTTTTTAATAAAAATCAAGCCTTTTCTCCGGACTTTTGATTTTATCATCTGGTAACCCTAGTCTTAAGTGACTGCAGCGGCAACTCCTTGCATAGAGAAATTGCTACATCAGCAGGAAATTCGCTAAATTAATTCTGTAAGAAAAAACTATAAAGACATTTTTCAACACTCTAAAGTTTCTAGGTTGGGCATTGCATTGTCCATCTTTGCTTCCATTAACTATACTCCTTTCTGCAGGAGCTTTTCTATAGGCTGCAAAGAACGCCAATGCGTTGAGAAGACACTCCTCGACGCATTGGCTTTGTAGTAGTCGTTTACCTTACCTGTGGCCCAAGCACGAATTTTTGACAGCTCCGTAATGTATCGCATCGTCCAAATTTCTATGAAAACTAAGCAGCGTCTCTATCGGACATAAGAACAAACTAGCTTTTTGCATAAACTAAACAAACAAAAGAACAATGACAAGTGTCCATAGTAACTTTGGCTTAATATAAGAGAATGCCATGTGGCATTAAGTTTGCCATATGTGGTAAAATGACAATAAAGAGTAAATAAATAAATATAAAATGTTCACGGTCAGCAATGAAAATAGTTTTATTGTACGTTGTTAATAACTAAAACATTTTTTTATTAACAAATCTATACTTATAATAAATCTGTAGAGATGTCAATTCTGTACATGAAATATATTTTTAAAATAACTATCAGGGGGTGGTTAGTGATCGATACTGATGCCAAAAATGCAATCAGTAAAATTTTTATCTGTCTGTCTCTCTGTCTGTGTGTATGTTCCTTATAGAAACAAAAACTACTCAACGGATTTTAACGAAAGTTGGTACAATTATTCTTCATACTCCTGGACAGGTTAAAGTATACTTTTCATCACGCTACAATCAATAGCAGCAGAGTAGTGAAGGGAAATGTTGGGAAAACGGGCGAAGTTACTCCATTTTTTAAGCTTCCGTCGCGGGTGCAGCCTTAATGGTTAAAGTTACATAGAAATCATGTATGACGGAAATATTCTACATAAAATTGTCTAAAAAATATGACGCAACAGCATATGTCTATCTTTTATGGTTGACTCACAATAACACGTGTAATTATATAAATAAAGTCATTCTTTATAGCACAAGCCTGAGAACAAAAACTATAGTTTACACTACAGCTCTACACCGAAGCGAAGCGAGGGCGGGCCACTAGTTAACAAATAAATTCTATTGGAGTAGTTCTCGAAAAATAAATTTTAATTTAAAACTTTCGAATTGTTTATGTTTATTGTTGTATGTAAAAGACATGTGTCCATCCCATATTACAATTAAAAGTTTTGTAAGCCAGAATCTGGCATTGTTCTTTGACGATGATGATACGTCACGTAGCTGCCAGAAAGTCATGCTCAGGCCTCTGGTGAGGTTTAACGACTACTAGAGCCATCACCAAGAGCGTAATCGTAAACGACTATATTATTGCAGTGCAACAACTTATGAATTCGAATAATTCGTTGTTGTATTTTTCTCTATCAAATTATATTGTCGGGGCTTTGATTTTATTAAAGTGTCCTGCCTGTGAGGGATAACGGTATGACGCTTATGTAGGTATGTCTTGGTCTCAGGGACGTATATAAGACTCAAGGTGTATATTTCAATTAAGACCGCCGCCGTCGAGATATGTATAATTAAATTAACACTCTTGCGACATTTAGCTAGGGTTTAATCAAATTAAGTAGTGTCGTCTTAGTACTCAGCCGCAGGTGACTGTGTTTTGGTTTACCTACCTCTATATAATTAATATAATGCAATCTGTAACACTTAATAATTATGTATTCCTGTAATATTCATTTAAATCAACATAAGTAATGGCTATAAATCTTTTATTTTTTTAAATTAATTGTTAAAATGACTTATTGTTATAGGTTTAATATTTGTATATTCCTACGAATACTAAAAAAACGGACATGTGCTGTTCACATGCGATAGATGTGAAACCAACAAAAATGTGAACACGTAAAAGTCCTTTATGACTAGATACGTCTTAAAGACAACACCTGTGTTAAAATTCAACTCTCTAGGTCAAAATTAAATATTTTATACTACTTAAATTGTTTCGGAAAATAAATAATAGCTTATTAAAAGAAAAAAAAAGAAAATGTGCGTTATGTTTAAAGATATTATTAAACAAATCAATGTAAATAAATATTGTTCACAAACAAAAATATGCTTTAATACTTCGACACCAAGTTTCATAAATATACTTGCGATCGCACGCTCCACCTAAGGAATTTTAATCAAACTGTTTTAAAGTGTTAGATAATTTAAAGCAAGCATGCTAGTCTTGCTACAAAAGCACTGCCGTAATCGTATAAGAAAATGCTTAATTTCTCGATAGATGGCGGCACTAAAACGAATTAAAAAACAAATTATTTACATATTTTACAAAGATTAGATGGAAGCTATGTAGCGATTAACGAGCAAGAAATAAACTTTAATAAACATATCAGACTATACGATATCCATTGAACTAATATTGTACAACATCATATACATAATATTTCTATGCAAAATTAGTTAACTGAAGCGTTTGTATTAAGGGAATCAGAAAAAACCACGATATAATAATCAGCTAGACTCGAGAAAATAAAAAAAAGTTAATTTTATAAGTTGACCCAACCGGGGTAGAACCCGATACCCCGCGAGATTGCAGGGTTTATTGATTACAAAAACATTGGTGAAGTTTTAGGGAAATTACCTTACGGAATGCCACTTCTTATGTCATCTCATACAAATCTCGCGGACAATTTAATTAGAACTCGCTGCCACGCCCGAAAGCGTGGCGCTACTCTACATTCGTATCGTCAACCGAGTTTTAAGAATGCCAATCAAGCAAGTCACGGCGGATTCAGCTTAGATGTTTGAATCGCACTGCAGTTGATGTCGACCCCAAGACCGTTACCGTATACCATAGACCGCTATCCGTCTCTTATGGTAAATGGTGAAATTACGGATACGTATCTTGTGTCAAATACTCTACTTCCGTTTCATCGAATCTCAAATCACAACGATGCTAAAGAAGTTTTCACTTCAAAAATAGTAATTGAATTAATGTTATTAAAATGAGCTTAATTTATTATTCTAATTCATAACTATTCTTCAAATGTCTTTAACTTAAATGGAAGTAACTAAACTAGGCTGAGGTTGACGTTATTATTATTATTCCTTGTGCTATCTCCTAAAAAGAAAGAAATGGTAATAAGGAGCATTCTGATTACGCTATCCTATTGCCTTATATATTATAACGCGTATAGCAAACATATTCAATATAGCGTGGTGTCAACGTGTTCCGTTAGTACGAGAGCCCACAAAACTAAACCTAGTATGATAAGACTCCCAGGTTTCGTTTGTTCCTCAAAAATCGATCAGGACCAGGGAAAAGGGCGACTTTTAAGCGCTGCAGCAACCACTTTCTCCAGTTTTTGGAAATGGAGTCATGGTTTTTCTAACACAGAAATTGAAAATGTTTTAGATGAGCATTGTTTTTTTCAGGAGGTTGGTCATACTTTGGGGCCCTTCTCATTCTGCTGCCACTGATAAGGGCAGTCATGAGGGCTTGCAGCACTGTTTTTTGTGTAGTCCCTCCCCCTATGAGGAACTAACGAAACCTGGGAGTCTTATAGTACTAGGTTTTTTTGCATTGCAGCATCTTCATTTCGTGTTCTTCTATTAATGACGCATCTAATTATCTATACGCTTCCGGACACATCTATCGGGCCACCTGGTATTTTAAGTTTTGACGGTCCCTAGATAAAAATCCCTAGATATGTTACACCGAGCAAAAAGTAATTACCTACGCAGTTTGGAAGATGAATTACTTAACATATTTTCGAGTGTTTTTAAAATTATTGTTCAACCATAAACATATATTTTTGCTGCAGACCGTTGAAACTTATAACACTAGTGAAAATTTTTGAAAAAATAGTGACTTCATTTTTGTCGAGTCAATTGAAACATACCGTGACCGCAGAACAGCATGGTTTTTTCCAAGGTCGAAGTGTCAATACAAATTTGGTTACTTACACTGATTTCGTACTAAATGTTATGGATGCTGGATATCAGGTGGATGCCGTGTATACCGACTTCTCGAAGGCGTTCGACAAAATTAATCATTCATTATTAATAAAAAAACTTTTCGGGGTCGGTATACATGGCGATCTGCTAAGATGGATTGAGTCATATGTCAGAAATCGTAGTCAAGCTGTTGCACTCAAGGGTTACCGATCGAGATTCTTAAATATTCCCTCAGGAATTCCGCAAGGGTCCCACCTGGGACCATTTTTATTTTGTCTTTATGTCAACGATATCAGCCGTTGCTTTACTAGCTCTCACTTTCTCATGTACGCTGACGATACAAAAATTTATAAAATAGTGCGAAATTCTGATGATTGTGAAAGTTTACAGAAAGATTTGATCAATTTTGAACGTTTTTGTAAAAACAATTACTTGCTCTTGAACCTAGATAAGTGTCATGTAATAACCTTTACTCGTAAAAATAATGCTATCCAGTATAATTACAGAATCTCAGATCAAAGTATAATCCGCACGAATTCTATTCGCGATTTAGGAGTAACTCTGGATTCCAAGTTGCACTTTAATTTGCATATTGACAGTATGGTAGCCAAGGCGTTTAAGCAGTTGGGGCTAATCCTACGACTAGGAAAGCCTTTCGCCAGGGGCAGTACTCTTAAGATCCTTTATAACGCATACGTTCGGAGTATATTGGAGTTTGGTAGCGTGGTCTGGAGTCCTCAGTATGCTGTGCACAAGGATAGAATAGAGCGTGTACAACGCAAATTCATAAAATCATTAGATTATCGTGTCGGATTTTATTATAATGATTATGAAGAGAGTGCAAAAAGACATGAAGTGCAGTCATTGGTCTGTAGACGCCAGTATTTGGATGCCATGTTTCTGTACAAAATAATAAACAATCACATAGACTCAGCTCAACTTGTGCAGAGTATTGTACTCAAAGTTCCTCGTTTCTCCTCACGTTCAAAAGATACCTTTTATGTTTCGAGTTGCCATACCAACTATGCTAGAGAAACCTTTTTTAGACGGACATGTAATTTTTACAATAAGAACTTGAATGAAGCAGATATTTTCAGTGAATCACTTTACAGCTTCAAAAGGAAAATAAGTGAATTATTGTTTAAATAGTTAACATGTGCAGCGGCGATGTATATCATATGTTTATAGTTATCCGTCACTTTTATGCCGCTTGAATATAATAATTGTATATCAATTAATGGTACTTTAGGTCTAGTTGTAAGCATAAATTGTAAAATTGTTTGTATAAGACTGTTTGTTACCTGAATTAAATAAATAAATAAAAATAAAAATAAATAGTGGGCCGATAGATGTGTCCAGAAGTATATATATCATTTGGGAGTCTAATCCTACTAGGTTTAGTGTCGTGGGCTCTTAGATTATAAGTACAATGTATATTGTATATGTTGCGCGGTATTGTCGTGATATGAGCTATAAGCTATTTTCTATAATAGTATTTTCAAACAAATATTTTTCTTATTTGTCAGTTGGCGCGTCGCTGCGTGACGGAGCACGAGTGTCGCTCAATGCCGACGCCCCCGCCGGGCGCTGTGGATCCAGGCATCCACGCGTACAAGATCCTCAACAACACGTGCGTCTACATATGCCCCAGTGGGTACACGGAAGTAAGTACCATAAATAAGTACCAGACCGAATAGAGACTACCCCAGAGGGGAGAGGCCGTCCGCATATTTTTTTTGTGACGCAGGCAAAACCTTTGTTTACAGACGACGGCGCCTTTAAGAGGTACACCGCCGAACGGACCTCACACCCAGCACTCGCAAACGTCACGGGCACGATGGGGCCAACCCCCAAAGTAACCCGCGCCATTTACGAGCGCGCTTAACGGCGTACTATCCGTTAAAAATCCTGCGAATACGCTCTAAGCTGCTTAGTGCGAAGCCGCGGGTTCCCCGTTTAGGGATTCTTCCGCGTTTCCGCACCCAGCAACCTCCCGGCCTAGCAGGGGCTTAACGGCAGGTGTCTTCCGGGGTATCTCGGGAACCCCGCAGACGTGCGCAGGATGGCCCGCGCGTGGGAAAATTCCAGGCGGACGTCCTCTGTCACAGCAGCATTGCTACAGAGGCCGTCCACCTGGAATTATATTAAAAGCACTTGCCAATTCTCGGTTATGTGTAAGTCCCCAAAACCGGTGACGCTGTAAAGTTATCTGCGACCAACAGCATACACACTCTAAAAATACACCCAAAAATCTTTTTTTTTTTCAGGTGTGTGTATGCTGCTGATCGCAAATGATCTTTACAGCTTCACGGGGTTGAGGGGCTAACGAGATCCGTGGTGACCTCAACCCGGGATGCTGCGAATGCCTCTAGTAGTTTCTCAGGCGGATGGAATCACCCCTCGAGGGGAATTTTCTCACCGCTCTAGACAGTTGGGCATTCGAGCCTGAGGGGCATGATCAATGGCTTGAACCAGTTTGAAAAAGATGTAGTCATGTACACTAGACCAGCCTTCCTACAACATAACTACATTGATTAAAATCGGGTTGGTTGTTAGTAAATACTTAAATAGTAAATAAGTATATTTAATAGTAATAGGTACAAAAATGTTTTTGTGAGTTATCCTTCAAAAGTGATTTAGCTTATTGTTATCACAAAAAAAATGTGCCGTGATATAATTAAAAATGATAGTATGTAGACTGAACATTGATAAAGTGCATGAACTAAGTTTAATATTTTTAAAGATTTATCGACATGAAGTATAACAAAACATGAAGTAAGGGTAGATTGTAGAACTCGGTAGATAGCAGTTCGTTGGTTTTGCGTAAGTGTGGGTACTCAAAAGGGTTTTAACTCAAATCCCCATAATCTTGGCTAGCAAAAAAACGCGTAGCAATTGATGTACCAATATGTATTAAAGATGAGTTCATGATGCTAAAAAAACTAAGTAACCTTTATTGCCCTCTCAAAATAGCATTGCAGAACCAAAATATTTTACAAATCGTTCGTTGATATGACCTTCCTCACATAAAGATCTTTCCGGAACAAAAATAGCGACGGAATAACACTGAAGTGAATGTTTTCATGACATACTGTAATTCACTTTTTATAAATAGAAGTGTAATGGGAATGCCTCTAAATTTAATTCAATTGAAGTACCACTACATATGAAGAATGTAGGGACATTTTTAGCTTGCTAAAAGTAGCCGTTGGCTAATAACTTTTCCGCAAAACATATTGTACAAGATTTGAGGAGGGTAACTTAACAAATTAAGTACGATATCAAATTTTGCTGTAACAGCCTCCTCTCTGTCTTTGTCCTGGCCTGTGGTGCTAATTTTCTTTGAAACTTTGTTTAAAGAAGACCGCTTACCAGAATAATTATACATTAATTACTTTGTGCTTTAATGCTTATAAAGGTACAAAATATTATACATATTAGTTTATTTATTCATTATTGACGTAAGTTATAATCCATTCGCAAATAAAAAATAGGTGACAGATGTCTGAAAAGCTAAATCAATGTGTGATATTATGTATCACCCAGATAACCACACGTTTTCCTTGAAGAAAAAGTGATAATAAATGTCAGTGAAACTTTCTCATATTGATCAAAGTATAATCTGTATTGCAATGTTGATTAGGTTGATACTTGATTAGATTACTGTCCGATGCGCATAACATTTGTCTGGCATCATTTTATCGTGTTCGAAACCGCGATTATCCATGACTCTAAAATCAAAATAAAAATTATACACTTTCACATCAATTATCTAGTCTTATATAAATATATCAGTGTCACCCCTATGGGCCGCCATGGCCGCCTTTAAAAAAAGGTTTTTTAGTAATTATATTTTTATGAATAAGTTTTATTTGTCATGGCTGTTTCTCATTTACAATAAGATATTTTTTGGGGAAAAATAGTTACTAAGGTGGCGGTTTAGCGATTTCGCTTTTTCAGTGTCGATAACTTAAATTAATCCCTTTTTCCCGTGGTAATGCTATAACCATCGTCACATAACATCTGGTGGGATGAATATCTAAAAATATAAACCTGAGAACGACTTTACCGATTTCATCCATAAGTTTTTATGTTTTCATAAACTTTGTAAAAGGTTCTTACCGGAAAAATATATAGTCAAGACATCCTTCTGGCGTATCCTTCATTCTAGCTACTTTTAAATTTTGATACACTAACAGGGATATTATTATAAATTTGTTCGTTGATAGGAAGGCGACAAGCGCACCGCCCGATGTACATCATGCCCGGGCGCCCGCTGCAAGCGCGAGTGTAACGGCGCCCGAATAGATTCCGTCGCCGCTGCCGAACAGTTCCGAGGCTGCACGCACGTTAAAGGCACCCTGGAGATATCACTCCGCGCCACTGGTGGTGAGCTAACCACATACACTATAAATAATGTATGGGATACTAGGGTAACGGATACAATACATATACTGTACATATATACTGTACATCTTTATATATATAATTCTTCTGTGAGTGTGTATGTCACTGAACTTCTCTTAAACGACTGGACCGATTTTGATGAAATTTTTTGTGTGTGTTCAAGGGGATCTGAGAATGGTTTAGATTCACAATTTTGTCCGCTGGACAACCCCTATTTTTTAGGGCGGTACGAAGTTCGCTGGGTCAGCTAGTATTTGTATATAAATACATATTAAACATTCATGACTGGAGTACAAATGCTCGTATTCATCACACAAACATCTGCACCCTCCGGGATTCGAACCTCTGGAGTCGGCGACACCATGATACCCGGCGAACAAACCACTGGACCACGGAGGTCGTCATTATACTCATCATCAGTACAGTATATACATTTCAGCCTTTTATTGTCCTAATTTGAATGAGCACGAAGGTCAGGTCTTGGATCACGAATTTTCTTGCGAAAGAGAGCTGTAAATTTCGCTCTGTCCTGGGCCCATGTAAAACCCAACAACAAAAAAGTTGAGTAACAACAAAAGCTCAATTAGGGTTTTCAAAAGGGGTATAAAATGGTGGCGTTTCTTACCGGCCGTTCGTTGTCAGTATAGGAATAAGAATATTCATAATAATATGCTTCTTATACATTTATACTTCCTGCTTATTATACATTCATGCTTATTATACATACATTTATATATACATACACACAAGTAATCTTTAAATATTTATGCTTTGAATCACTGTACTGATAACTCAAATCGAACAGATGATAAATTCATAATTCAAAACATGGTTCTGCATCTTTGAGATCCTGCCAGTTACAATAGAGATATAATATTTATATTTTTTTATTATTTTAAAGCATGTAACTGCTTGAAGTTTAAATCGTCTGCTGCCTGGTCCGCGTGGAATTTTTTCTAGTTATATTTTCTTTAGATATAAGTACCTCTTTATTTGTATAGGTAACGCAATGGCTGCCTTAGAAGCGGCACTTGGTGAAATTCGAGAGATCGCAGGCTGCTTGAAGGTAACCAGATCGTACACTCTGATCTCACTGATGTTCTTGAAGAGTCTCAAAACTATTATCGGCTCACCGACTGAAAACAAGTGAGTATATGCGTTAACCTTTGTCATTTGATGTATGCAAAATATAATAGTTATTTTAGAATTACAGCGGACATTTAGATGTCCGCTATATAAACAAAATATTCTACAACTATAAAAATTTCTCCCATGCTAATGTAATTTATATAGTTTCATACCTTTAGTATTAACCCATCAATGAACTTGGCAATTAGGTAAAATGTTTTTGGCGGCGTCACTATTGTTTTCAGACAACATCCCAAATAGAAGCTTTCCTAAACAAGACATAACAAATATTCATTGTGATTGATATAAATTATGCTGTATTATCTTTAAAACTGTGCTACTTCACAAAGCTTTGTTTTTATGTATCACTAGCGGCCGCCCGCAACTTATTCTACGTTAACTTCAAGAATCTTATTTTTACGGGATAAAAAGTGTTCTATGTCACAATCCTGATCATAAACTATATGCATACCAAATTTCATCCTAATCCGTGCAGCAGTTTTTGCGTGATTGAATAACAAACATATAGTAGAAGATCCGAACTAAAAACGATCTTCACCGAGCTGATAATAGAATGAATCATATTTTATAACAAATTTTGTATGTTAGAAAATATGTTGAAAATGGGTTGCCTAAAAATACCCTGGACAGAAATTTTTAATTATTAAAAATTAAACGGATTGATAATCCTACTAATATAATAAATGTGAAAGTTTGTATTAGTCTAAGATCCGAACTAAAAACGATCTTCACCGAGCTGATAATAAAATGAATCATATTTTATAACAAATTTAGTATGTTAGAAAATATGTTTAGACTCTTGAACTATTTAAATAAAAATGAAATATTATCAAGTTCTCAGTACGGTTTCAGACGGGGAATATCAACGGAGAATGCAGTCATAGATTTAGTGACTCATATTACAGCTTATGTTGATAAAGGGGAGAAATGTCTAGCTGTATTCCTAGACCTCAAAAAGGCCTTCGATACTGTTTCTGTACCTATATTAATAAAAAAGCTTGAAGACATTGGTATTAGGGGTACTGCTCTCTCTTTGTTTGAAAGTTATCTCTCAGAAAGAAAACAAGCTATTAATATCGACAATTTAAATAGTTACGAAGAAAATATCACATACGGAGTTCTACAAGGCAGTGTACTAGGCCCTTCACTGTTCTTAGTTTACATTAACGACCTGTGTAAGCTTCGAATTAGTGAAGTACGAATTTTCTGTTACGCGGATGATACTGCACTTGTATTTTCTGGTCATTCCTGGGAGGCAGTACAAACCGTTGCTGAACTAGCTTTGGCTGAAGTGTCAAATTGGCTTAGCACAAATCTTCTGACACTTAATACGACAAAAACAAATTATATATGTTTTACCCCAAGTCAAAGATCTCAACCGGCTGATGATTTTCAAATTAAAATTCACAGTAGCAAAAACCATCCATCCACCGAAAACTGTACCAGTATTTCAAAAGTAATCAGCACCAAATACCTTGGAATTATATTGGATCAAAGACTATCATGGCATTCACATATTGAATTGGTTATCGCCCGAGTCAGGAAACTTACCTGGATATTTAAAACATTGCGATATGTCATGTCTAGTCAACTTCTGAACAAAATCTATGTTGCGTTAGTTCAGCCTGTGATAACGTACTGTATTCCTGTGTGGGGAGGAAGTTCAAAATATAAATTACTTGATCTTGAAAGGGCTCAAAGATCACTCCTCAAGGTAATGTATTTCAAACCTTACAGATACCCCACAGACAATCATACAGATTGTAATCTTTTATCTATCCGGCAGCTGTATTTATTAAGCACTACCCTGGCATTACATAAGACATTAAAATATGTTCCTTCAAAATTAGACAGAAGACGTAAAGATATTGTGTTTCGTTCCCTTCCAACTCGCACTGATTTTGGTAGACGTCAATATCCCTCTCAAAGTATTTTCATTTATAATACTATAAACAAAATATTACAACACAACATGTATCCTATGTTGTCATATAAATGTAAAACAACTCTAGTTAATTGGCTGAAAACACTTAACTATGAAGACACGGAATTAATTTTAAAAAGAATAACATAATGGTCGCACTGGAAATTAAATATATATACAACTGTACACACATTCACGCACTTATTCTCCATCTCACACAGACACACACACACACACACACACACTTATACAAATACACCTGATATTTTAAGAAATTACTTGTTATGTGCCCAAAATTTGTTAACTGCACTAGGCTAAGAGCGAGGCATCCCAACACAAGTATTAATTATTACTTTCTGGGTTGTCTCAACTTGTACTGTATTCTGACTCTTTGGGAAATAAAAACCATTTTCATTTTTCATTTTCATGTTGAAAATGGGTTGCCTAAAATAATCCTGGACAGACAATTTTTAATTATTAAAAAATATGATTTATTTTTTATTTTTGCAACATCAAGATAATAAGAAATTTTTTACCCTGACTTAAAGTATGAAACGTATAGAATGTGCAGCCGTTGGGTTGCCTATTATTTACCTGGACAAACTACTCGGTTGTCGAACAGGTATGTCGATGCCAGTTACCTTCACTCGATTAGATAATCGAAAAAAATTTATATCAATATGAGCGTTGTTTTATTGCGAACACGGTGATATAGGGTTTTCTGCAAAAAACTTGGTCCTAATAGGGGTTTGCGAATTTTGAAGATTTTAATTTTAACAATTATATGTGCGAAATTAAACCCCGAAAGCTACGGTTGGCATTTAGATGATTTTTTAAAACCAACTGGTTTTATCGGAGATCAAACTCCTTTGAAAATCCAGGACATTGTCTGACTGATAACTCAAATCGAACAGATGATAAATTCATAATTCAAAACATGGTTCTGCATCTTTGAGATCCTGCCAGTTAGTTACAATAAAGATATAATATTTAAATTTTTTATTATTTTAAAGCATGTAACTACTTGAAGTTTAAATCGTCTGCTGCCTGGTCCGCGTGGATTTTTTTCTAGTTATATTTTCTTTAGATATAAGTACCTCTTTATTTGTATAGGTAACGCAATGGCTGCCTTAGAAGCGGCACTTGGTGAAGAAGCGGCACTTTAAAGTATGAAACGTATAGAATGTGCAGCCGTTGGGTTGCCTATTATTTACCTGGACAAACTACTCGGTTGTCAGGTATAAACAGGTATGTCGATGCCAGTTACCTTCACTCGATTAGATAATCGAAAAAAAATTATATCAATATGAGCGTTGTTTTATTGCGAACACGGTGATATAGGGTTGTCTGCAAAAAACTTGGTCCTAATAGGGGTTTGCGAATTTTGAAGATTATAATTTTAACGCGAGTGGAAATGTGTGACAGAGAGATCCGAATTGAGTATAGCGTGTAATAATAAAGAACACAACATGGCACAACTGACATTTAAGTTGTAAATAATAATAATTATAATAATATTATAATACTAAAATATTAAACAATAAAACCTCAATTAAATAAATATTTATACAAGTTTTTGTAACTCAAAATATAATGACGTAAATAATACAAATATCAATACTTTGAATTTTTTTTTTCTCTTTCTGGAAAAAATTATGAGAAACAAAGTGGACAGCCGAAAATTCAAATTCATGGATAAAAAAAAGATAGACTAAAAATCTTGTATTACGTTTGAAAAATTTATTAAAAAACAGCATAAATACAAAAATAATATCAATAAAAAATAAATTATAACAAATATTTTCTATTCTATATCTGATTCATCAGAAGTATAATTTTGATTCTCGAATTCATCTGACTCATTATTAGTTTCTTCCTCAATTTCTTCCATTTCGACAATGTCCTGGATTTTCAAAGGAGTTTGATCTCCGATAAAACCAGTTGGTTTTAAAAAATCATCTAAATGCCAACCGTAGCTTTCGGGGTTTAATTTCGCACATATAATTGTTAAAATTAAAATCTTCAAAATTCGCAAACCCCTATTAGGACCAAGCTTTTTGCAGACAACCCTATATCACCGTGTTCGCAATAAAACAACGCTCATATTGATATAATTTTTTTTCGATTATCTAATCGAGTGAAGGTAACTGGCATCGACATACCTGTTCGACAACCGAGTAGTTTGTCCAGGTAAATAATAGGCAACCCAACGGCTGCACATTCTATACGTTTCATACTTTAAGTCAGGGTAAAAATTTTCTTATTATCTTGATGTTGCAAAAATAAAAAATAAATCATTTTTTTTAATAATTAAAAATTGTCTGTCCAGGATTATTTTAGGCAACCCATTTTCAACATGAAAATGAAAAATGAAAATGGTTTTTATTTCCCAAAGAGTCAGAATACAGTACAAGTTGAGACAACCCAGAAAGTAATAATTAATACTTGTGTTGGGATGCCTCGCTCTTAGCCTAGTGTAGTTAACAAATTTTGGGCACATAACAAGTAATTTCTTAAAATATCAGGTGTATTTGTATAAGTGCGTGTGTGTGTGTGTGTCTGTGTGAGATGGAGAATAAGTGCGTGAATGTGTGTACAGTTGTATATATATTTAATTTCCAGTGCGACCATTATGTTATTCTTTTTAAAATTAATTCCGTGTCTTCATAGTTAAGTGTTTTCAGCCAATTAACTAGAGTTGTTTTACATTTATATGACAACATAGGATACATGTTGTGTTGTAATTTTTTGTTTATAGTATTATAAATGAAAATACTTTGAGAGGGATATTGACGTCTACCAAAATCAGTGCGAGTTGGAAGGGAACGAAACACAATATCTTTACGTCTTCTGTCTAATTTTGAAGGATCATATTTTAATGTCTTATGTAATGCCAGGGTAGTGCTTAATAAATACAGCTGCCGGATAGATAAAAGATTACAATCTGTATGATTGTCTGTGGGGTATCTGTAAGGTTTGAAATACATTACCTTGAGGAGTGATCTTTGAGCCCTTTCAAGATCAAGTAATTTATATTTTGAACTTCCTCCCCACACAGGAATACAGTACGTTA